TGGTGTTTTGGTTACATTCTGAAATGGTTGCCATCATCAGAGTAGAAAATAGAGCCATCAGCTCACGTAGTTTGTTTGATATTATTATTAGTATTAGGAAATTAAGCCTGACTCCATTGACAGATTTCAAATATCTAGAACCTACCTTCTCACCAAGCACAATCAGATCTCCAAACCACCTCCCAACTGCAATTTGTAGCCACTGCTTTCTGATCTCCCCAGTACCTGATTAGAACAGTTTCCGAGACCCAACCAAGAGCGTGTAAGGTGACTAAAGGAGAGAATACCAAATGCAGTAGAGACAACGTCTCATCTATCACACATCAATTGGTATTTATGTTATGCTTAATTCTAAATATCCATTTGACACAACCTAGAATCTCACCTTGAAAGTCTGAATGAGGGACTACCTAGATGAGTAGATGAGGTTGGTGTGTGGGTGTGTGTGGTGGTCTGTGAAGGACTGATTTTTGTTAATTGAGTTGATTGAGGTTAGAAGATGTAGCCCACCATGGGTAGTATTACCCCCTAAGTTTGTGTCTTGGGCTGTGTAAGAGTAGTAAAAGTGAGGTGAGCACTAAGCATACAAGTGTGCATCTCTCCTTGCTCTTGACTGTGGGTGTGATGTCATTAATCATCTGTCTTAAGATCCTGCCTCTATGAAGGACAATAACTTGAAATTGTGGGCTCACATAAACCCTTCTACCCCTAGGTTTCTCTTCACAGAGCATTTTATTACAGCAACAGCAATGAAACTAGAACATTAGATTAGATTTTAAATGCTTCCATGGAGACCAGGTTACACAGCACATCATTTCCACCCATAGGTAAATGTTACAGTATGGGCAGGAGAGTTGGAGTTAAAGAGGCAGAAATGGGCATGGGCAACAAGATGCTTGTGGAGTATCTTTTCATGAACTACAGAGCGAGTGTGATATTTTTAACAGTGAGCATGTGTGGCTTTGATAAAACAGTTAAATTCACATTAATAAAAAAGAGAATAGTCCAGTGTGTCTTGATGACACAGAGCAGCCAGCCTAAGTGGGAGATTGATGAACAGGCTGCTTCATTGTTCAGACACCTATTGCTTCCCGTTAGGTGGGGGAATGGTCTTATTTCAGGGTGACTGCAGAAATGGAGAATTCTCTGCGCTATTCTACTGCCACTAAAGCCAGGCACTTGTGCATTTGGTGAAACAGAGTGGTTTGTAAATCTGTATGTATCACAGGCATCAGACTGAGTGATGCTTCCCGCTGGCAAGAAGAGGCACAGGGCTTATTTATGGCCCTGCAGCCTTATTGCTAATTAGATCTACTATCACTGTGGTCATCTAATAACTCTCTGTGTTTAATGTGGTACCCATGAGAACCTCCCGACTCATCATGCTGACAGTGTTTGCTGTTTATGGAGGGCGTGTGAGTCCAGGGTGGGAAGAGCTTCAGAAGACAAACAAATGGCAAGGATGGGGTGGTGAGTTATCACTCTGCTTGTCAGGTTATTTTCCCCCTGCTTTTATCTAGTCTTCGTGTCTTTCATATCATGCATCTCCATCCCATTCATTTCCCCATCCATTAGTATCCACTCTCTGCCCTTGTAGCCTGCCCCCCAAAATAACATGCAATTTAAGAGAAAAAAGAAAAAAGAGAAGGAGAATATCAATCTCATCATAGAAGTTGTAGTATGATACAACGAGTCACACAGTAAACCCTTTTATCCATGTATCTTTACTTGCAAGTGTTCATTGAAGCGTGTCGTTGGTCTAGTTCAAGGCCTATGGTTTGTTAGGCTATTGATCTTTGATGGGAAATGAAAAACTTTAAGAAATCAACAATACCTAGGAAGAGCAGGGAACATTGGGCCACCAAAATAAATTAGGCTGGGTCTACCCAAGAAACAAGAGCAGTAGGACATCAACCATTGCATGGAGCAAATTCTGAGGTTAAGTATTCTACCAGTAAGAACAGATTGGATTATATGGCAGTAAGTGTCACTTCCGAATCAAACTGCAATAGGACAAGAAAACCTGGTCACTCCTCCTCATGCCTACAGAAGTCAGCAGGAGGACCCTTTCCATGCAGGGACTCTGGTAATCCTGAGAGGTCATCTGGAACCTGATTCTTCAACCTTGTGTATTTGCCACAATAAACACTTTGATGATTTCATACATGTATAAGATTCATCTTGATCGTATCTACCCCCAATTCCTCTCCTTCCCCAGTATGTGTGTCCATTCCCACCTTTTAAGAATAACCCTCTCTGCCAATAAGGCTGTCTACATGTTCTTGAGTGTGGGGTACTCTACCAGTGGCCATATTCCTGAAGAAAAATAATTCTCTGTCTTCTGGGAGTCATCAACTACCAACAGTTCCTCAGCTAGGAGTGGGGCCTCATGGCTCCTTCCCTTGTTTGCCCTGAAATGCCGTTTGGCTTAATGCTGTGCAGGTCTTATGCAAACTACCATAGCTTCTGGCAGTTGATGTGTTCATCCACCATGTCTTGTCCAGAGGATGGAATTTCACAGCTCTTCTCTCCATCCTCTGGCTCTTAACATTTTTCCTTCCTCTCTTTTCAATATTCCCTGGACCTTGTAAGGACTGATATTGCTGTTGTCCCATTTAGGGCTGAACACTCACAGTCTCTCATTCTCTGACCAGTTAAACATCTCTGTGTTGACTGCTGCCCACTGCCAAGAGAAGCCTCCTTTACCAAGATTGAGAAGAGCCTGGTCATTCCTCTGGCAAAATGCAGACAGCTATCATTTCTCAAATTGATAATAATGCAGCTGACCCCAAGAGAAGTATCTGTAGGGTAGATCTTGCAAGGTGGCTCTGTGGACAGGACTTGTGGCTGAGTCTGACAATTTGAGTTTGATTCCTCCATTCCATATAGTGGAAGGAGAGAACAGATTCTCAAAAGTTGTTCTCTGACCTCCACTTGGGCACCATGGCACAGGTACCACCACACACACACACACACACACACACACACACACACACACACACACACACACACACACACACACACACATCTGCATGCACACATGTGCATGCAAATAAATAAAAATGCACATAAAAAATTCAAAGTGTATTCAGTGGAGTGTTAGGAGGCCTATGCTTTGAGTTCAGGAATGTTCCAAAGTGGAGCCGGGCCTTGTTTTTCTTTTTAAGATGAAAATAGCATGTGTTAGCAGAGGCCGAGGCTCAGCCAAAGGAGCTGACATGCTGTGAACCTCTCGAGGGAGGGAAGAAGTATATGTTACAATAGAAGCAGACTTGCTGTAGGGAAATGGTGATGTCACTTGGGGATAACTGCTATGCCATCTTTTGGCGAACTACTCACAGGCAGTTCAGATTCTGCGTGAAAATCAAATTCACAAGACTATTTACAAGCTTTGTCCCCAAGGAAGGTGCCTTGGCCCTCCAGAACTTGAATGTAGAGCAGGGACACCCTTATCTAATGGCTGCAAGTCAAAGTATAATGGCAGTCAAGTCATGAGACATCCAGCTGACCCTGTATACATCCAACTGCCCCCTGTTAGTCTATCAAGAAGGGCCAGGCAAGCTCCGACTTTACAGAATGCAATGGGGCTTGTTTGTTGAAAGGACTCATGGGGACACCGTCAGCGAGGGACAAGCTGCAGTGTCACTGACATGCCAGGAGATAGGGCCTGGAGGCTGTGGCTGTGCAGAATCTGAGAAGGGTGTGAAACATGTCCTGAGTGAATGTGTGCTGTTGACATAGGCATGGCCATATCAAGGACCTTAGAGCCTTGGACTCAAGGGAAAATGACAAAGCTTTCCAGGGATGAGGCACAAGGGGATTGTAACTCCTTCTGGTCCATGTTCAGATGTTGACAATGTGTGTAGAAATGTCCACCATAGCCAATATGTATGGCTTGAAGACTGCTCCCCTACAGTGATTCATCCTACCAAGATTAATTAAACCTGCTTCCTTGCTTAGATGTATGTAATAACCTACTTGTTTACCAGTATGTAATAACCCCACCTCCCTGTTTACCTGTATATAAGCATGTGTACTGTGTATTAATAAATAGGTTGCTGTAGCTTGTCCATCAGAAAGTCCATTTGGTCTCAGCTTTATTGTGTGTCTTTCCTTCGTGCCCTGTCTACCCCATCATGCCAATCCCTAAAGCCATGTGACCTGCCCAGCACCTTCCAACACTATTAGTGACAGCAAGTCTAGTTTTCAACCTCGTTCCAGCCCAATTACACTACACCCTGCAACTAGACTATGTGGAGAGATAAAGACAAATATCTTACCTTTCCCCCAAAAGAAGAGTTTAGTGGCAAAATGTGTGTTTCCATGAGTCTGTAGGAGTGAGTTTTACACATGCACTCGCTGCAAGGGAGGGGCTGCAGGTGTGTGGTTTCAGCCACACTCGCATTCAGAGGCTAGAACTGAGGAAAATCCTGGAAAACCCGCAAGGAGTGAAAGGAGAGGAGAGAGAATCCATTGAGGTCACTTGCATCTTCTTTGTGGCATCACCAACCTAAGTGCCTTTAAGTTGGATTCATTGTACATAAGGTTAGAACGATTTATGCCACCAATGCAAGGACTCAGAAGCTGGAATTCCCAATAGACGTCTTCCCTTCATTTCTCCTTAGTCTTGTGGCCTTGGGCAAATCATAAAACCTCTCTATGCTCTCTAAGAAACAGGAATGTTGCCTGTCACACCTGGTGATGTGAAGATTTCTGAGTCAGGACTTCCAGGGATCTTAAGAGAGTGCTGGATACATAGTAAGACTCCTGCGTGCTTGTCAGACATAGTATTAGTTCTGAATTTACCCCATCACATCCTCTCTACAAAAACAGGTGTTGACGGAAATGGCCTCTTGGCAGATGGCTGGTATCAAGCACTTGACTTCCTGTGCCCAGACGAAAGCCTGAGCCATCTGCAGGGAGGCAGGAAGAGGCATCCGTACATTCAAGGGACTGGCCATTTGGAGGTTAGGTAATGGACAATGTGTTTGTTCTTCCAGGAGGCAGAGATCCTGAACACAGCCATCCTCACTGGGAAGACAGTGGCTGTCCCTGTGAAGGTGATCTCGGTAGAGGAAGACGGCACAGTACAGGGTGTGTCGGACTCGGTGGAGTGCAGGTCAGCAGACGAAGACACGGTTAAGGCAAGTGGACAGTTCCTCTCCGCTGCAGAAACCCATGGTTACATAGGTGTGGCTGTTTATCCCCAGCTGGGTCTGCAGGGTTCTTCCCATTCTGCTTTTCCTGCCACTTAAATCAGGAGTGTCTCCTAGCCCAAAGCCAAATAGGGCAAAGCAGTGCTCTAGCCCATGCCTGGGCTGAGAGGCTTTTCTTCTGTGTCTTTGTCGCCTGATATTGATCTTTTTTTCCCCAGACCCTGGGAGGTAGCATTGGGATGCAGGGACAATACACCCATCCCCCCCCCTCCACAGACTGAAAACAGAGGTTTCTTTCTACCCACTTGGACTGTAAAAGAATGAGAAGGAGAATCAGGACCTGGACTGGTGCACATGCAGCCATGCTCCATGATGCATTTACAGGCTTGTGTGAGATCGATAAAGGCATAAAGTTTATGATTACAACTAACTTTGATTTACAAAATCAGTCACTGGGGAGAGGAGTTGTCTCCTAACCCCTGGCCCTCCCACACAGCTGTCTACATGAGGGAGGGGCACCACACACTATGCCCATTCCTCCGTTCCATTCCCTGACTCCATCCTTCCTCTTCTTAAATTGAAAGCAAAAATGATTCAAGGCAAAGGCATGCTGGGAGAAGCCCGAGGCCAAAGACTCCATTCTGGCTGTGCCAGGAATCTCTCAGCAAGGATCCAGGCAGTGGGGAGGGAGTGGATTTTTGAAGCTGCCATGACCCGCTCCACAGTCAGAGCCATGGGGACAGATGTCTCGCCACGTCCTCAGGGTGAACAAGGATGATGAGGGAGGTTGCGAGGCACTCCTGGGGCTTCCTTCTTACCAAATCCAGAAAGAATATCAGACAGAGCCCCAGGGCTTCTAGACAGGAGTCACTGTAGCCTATCCTCTGAGAAGGGAAACTACAGTGAATGACTATATCTAGCAACTTGGGAGGCAGTTAATAAACGCAAATAGAATCTTTGCCTGGCGCCAGTTTCTTCTCAGGATTCCAGGACCACCAAAACCAGGAGGCACACTTAACCAGAGCTGAGAAAAGGCAGATCTGCAGGATAATGGTGCAGTAGTGTGGTACTTTACATGCCATTCCACCCTACTTCTTCCAGAATCTTCTTTACAACACACAGCCAGTGAGTCCTTCAGTGTCCCTGGCCAATGTCTCAACTCATCTTGATTTCTGTCTTCCCGTCTCTCGCATCCAATTTTCTACAAACCTCTCTGGGACCCCTTCCTAGGCATTCCCGGTCAGCAGCTCTTCTCTGAGATGGGTCCCATCCTGGTCCAGGACATTGTGGATACTAGATCAAGGAACGGCCCTCTCCTCTCATTCCCACACTCAACCCTGTCCTTGTGTTTTCCCCACTTCCACCTGAATGTGGCAGCCGGGACGGTCAGTGACAACCCAACAGCCTGACTCATCGTCTGATAACCATTCACTAGCTTCCCTTGTAGCTCAGAGTACCCAGGCTGCACACGTCACCCCGACCTCAGTCTTCTTATGCACCCATCAGTGCAGCCACTCAGAGTCTCTGTGGATTATTTGAGGCCCAGAACCCCTTTCCACCTCTCCATCTATCTCTCCTCTTGATGACTGTACGACCTGTGCCCTCCCTTGGCTTCCCACAGAGTCCTTTGTTTTCCAGCATTTGTGAGGTTGTCATGGGTACCTAGCACTGCCTTTCATGCCTCCTCGCATTTTATTCATATGTAAATATGTAATGAAATGTGTACCTGTATAATACATATCATGTTTAGTTCTCATACATATTGCATTATATGTAATGTAATATGTGCATGTTGATGTATATATATATATATATATATATATATATATAATATATAACTATGCTCATTGACTTCCCTCACCAGAATACCAGCTCCATGAGGGGAAGATGTTCTGGTTCCTTCTGTTCACTGTTATAGTCCCATCACTTACAATACCTGGCACATCATGAATAATCAACAAATCCTTGTAAGGTGAAAGAGTGAATGGCACACATCTGCTCCTCCGGTGGTCATAGAGTTACCTCCTGACAACCTATTGCTTCCAAACAGCCAGCTGGGGCAGTTCTCTCAGACAGAAATCATGAGTGCATCAGATTGGATTGGGGCTGGCTGGCCTAGGCTCTTGAGTGCCCAAGGCAGACCCAGAGACTTGCATCTCCAAGCCCCCAGAGCTACAGGCATATTTCTCTCAGCTTTAGAAGCCAGAGACTCAAACTGTCAGGACTTGGTGTAGAGGTTTATTACTCTGGGCTTTAACCACCAGTGCTTGGGAGGTCATAGGACAACTTGCAGGAGTTGACTCTCTCTCTATCATGTGGGGCCCAGGTTTAGAACTTAGATCATCAGTTCTAACTTTTGCCTTAGACACGAATGGAGCCTAAGGCAGCTCAGCTTGCTTCAGTAGCAACAGGAGCAGCAGCAGCCTGCTCATGTCACCATTCATGAATAGCTGGGAGGTTCCAGCCCTGCAGAGGTAGAGCTATGGCTCTTGGAGTTAGGGTATCTGAAACTCCTGGCCCATAAGGCTTGCCAGTTCTCTTGGATCTACATGGCAACCAGAACCTGCAGTGTCTCTTCTGTGACTCCTCACAATCTTTCTACGTTCCTCCAGCCTTGCTTTCTCCCCTCCCATCTTCTCTCTACTTCTGCTATTCCTCATTGACTCCACTGCCTCTGATTCCCACAGCTTCTGCCCCAGACACTCCCTGGAACTCTGAAATCACCCTCTTGCTACTGCTGCTGCAGCCACTGCCATCACCACCTTTGCCCTCCTACTAAATCCCCACCAGACCATCATCTCCACTTTGTATGGCCAGCTCATTTTACTACTAAAGATTGAAAATAGACAAGAAAACACCACTTACGAAAATCCTTTGATTGAACCTAATGTTGCAACACCAGGGGACAGCATAGGAACAGGGCTCCCAACTGACTGGAAGAGTGAGCCCAACCTTTTTTTATAATCACAGAGAAAGCTCCCCCTGGTACTCCTCCAACCTGGTTGGGAATGGCTACTTAAGCTCGCTACAGCAGAAAGCTCTTGTGCATGGGACAGCTTCCCCTGGAGTTGGATTTGTGCATTGGGAACAAGCAGCGTGGTTGCTGTGTAGCTTCCTCCAAACATCTTACAATGTCGAAAGCAGCCTGGCTGTAATGAAGTCTGGCCTGTCAGCTGATAGTCCTCTGCTGAAGTAAGCCGTCCAGGACACCAAGAAGGGGTCTGGCAGCTGTCAATCAGGGAGCCTAATCACCAAAGCCTCTAGCATCTTAGCTTTCTTAAAGGAAAAATAAGCATTAAAAGTATTCTTACCACAAGGGCAATTGACATTACCAGTGCTTTGGCAATGTTCAACAACACACTACTCTTAGCTAAGAATCCTTGGGGAAGTGGCTTCATTTTATCCGTTTCACCATCATTAAATCAAGAATGTCTTGAGTTAAAATATTTAATACCCTTCATCTGAACAGCATACCCTGGCCCTGCCTCCCTGAGAATTCATATCAATCCACGGTTGGGCAGAACCTTGGAGCGCAAACTCTATCTGTCTTATAAAAGTATGTTCAATATTTCATGGAACATGCTGGCTACCTTATAAAGTAAATGTACCAACTAAACAGTGACCTGTGGAAAATGAGTTATATACCCTGTGACAGCTGAACAGGAAACTACACGGCATCAATAGAGGACCATGTCACAGACTGCCAGCCCAGGGGGGAAAAAAACAAAATTAACATCTAAAGTAATGTTTTTATTGAGTGTGGATCACTTCCCCATTTTCACATAGTCAAAGGACCCTAAATCAGAGCACCCTTCAGTTTCGACTATCTGTAATAACAAACAGGAAACAACTGATGAAGTTACAAAGCAGTCCTCAGGGGAGGGACTTAAACTAAGACAGAAAGAACGTTGTGTGAGTTACTGTGGTCCAGGGAAAAAGGCAACTTAAGGATGGAAGGGTTTGTTTTGGCTCACAACATAAAAGGACAGTCTGTCATGGTGGAGAAATCTTGATGGCAGGTGACATTTGGTCACAGTGCATGCACAGCCAGGAAGCAGAGAGACGGATGCTGGTGTGCAGCAGCATGGATGGTGATGCACCCATCCAGAGTAGGTTTTCTTGCAGTAATCAACCCAGTCTAGAAGCTCCTTCATGGACAAACCCAAAGGCTTGACTTCTAGGTAACTCTAGATCCTGTCAAGTTGACAATTTAAATTTTTAATTTTGTATTATATGATTTGTCATTTGTGTTTATATGTATGTGTATGTGGTGATACATTGTGTATTATCTAATAAAGCTTGCCTGAAGATCAGAGTGCAAATCTAGCCACAGCCATGGAGGCCAGGCAGTGGTGGTACACACCTTTAATCCCAGCACTAGAGAGGAATATAAGAAAGGAGCTCAGAGTCTCAAGTGGATTCAGACTGACTGCAGTCACGCTGAGGATGGGTTTGCCCCAGCCTTGGCAGAGGAAAGAACTCTCTAGCGGTTGGCTGCTTTGCTTTTCTGATCTCCAGGCAAGTTTTGTTAGGTCATAAACAAAGCATCACCACATGTATGGGTGGATTATGTATGTATGTGGTGTGTGTGTGTGGATGTGTGGAGGTCGGAGAGCAACTTGCAGGAGTTAGTTCTCTCCTTCTGCCCTATGAGTTACTAAGACAGAACTCAGGTCGTCAGGCTTGGGGACAAGCATCTTTACCTGCCAAGCCGTCTCACCAACCTGACATTAGGTTTTCACCAGTCTGCCAAACAAACAAGATACCAAAGGGCATTGCAGAGAAAGGCCACAGCATTAATGACGCTCAGGGCACACTGGATGCATCTGCAGCCTGCAACAATCATCAGCGAGTCCAGATGGCCAGCCAGCACTGGGTCCTCCTGGCCCAGCCATTGACTCAGAGATAGACAGAGTACCCAACCAGAGCAGCTGAGATGCAGCCTTGATATTCTGGGATGAGCCTAGAGAAGGAAGAGGCTTCTATCC